GGCCAGACGGCCAAGGGCATCCAGCACGACGTGTGGCGGTCGACCAACGGCATCGACTGGGAGCGGCTGAGCCGCCGCGCGCCGTGGAGGGGCCGACGGCTGTTCCAGACCGCCGTCACGGGCTGGCCAGGCGGGAGTGAGGGCAAGAACATGAGCGTCTATGTGATGGGGGGCGAGGGGCTGAGCGAGGGACACCTCAGCGACCCCTACAACGACGTGTGGAGGTCCGATGACCTCGGTAAGGCACATCCATAGGCGCACATGCGCGCATATGGTCTGCCTGCATCCCTTTCGTGCGCTTCTATCCATCTGTCGCTGTGTGTAGGTGTGACGTGGTCTGAGGTGACGAAGTCGGCTTCCTGGTCTCCCCGTTATGGTTTTGGTGCGTTGGGATTCTTTCATGGCGGCCTCCTGGTCATAGGCGGGGCCACCATCTCTGACGGAGGCATGGACGAATACGTCAACGACATCTGGTGCGTACAAACGCCACGAAGACACCCAGACCACAACTGCATCTTTTTGCTCGTCTTGTGTGTGTCGGTTCGTTCGTCAGGTATTCTCCTGACGGCGGCAAGACGTGGAAAGAGCTGCTGGCAAACGAGACCAAGCCTTTCTCGCCCCGCGCCTTCTTCGGCCTAACTATCCGGATCAACGAGCTGTGGCTGATCGGCGGCATGCACCTTGCACAGCTCGGTCAGGGACGCGTCACCATCCCCACCAACGAGGTCTACAGGGCGATACTCAAGGCGCGAGAGACCTACCACGACGTCACCGACTGTGAGCAGTCAGCATGGAGCGAGTGGACCCGATGTGACGGGCAGCGGACGCGCATCCGCACTACGATCACGGAGGCGCGAAATGGCGGGGAGCCGTGCGGAGATTCAGTTGAGACAGAGAACTGCACCTTCCACGACGTCACCGACTGTGAGCAGTCAGCATGGAGCGAGTGGACCCGATGTGACGGGCAGCGGACGCGCATCCGCACTACGATCACGGAGGCGAATGGCGGGGAGCCGTGCGGACATTCGGTCGAGACAGAGAACTGCACCGTCCAACGGGTGGAGACGTGCGAGGGCGACGAATGCGCCGCGCGGACCGTCTTGTTCTCCCTCAGAGGCTGTCCATGCATCGAGAGGAGCTGCCAGAAGCCCGAGGAGGACGACGTGGATATCCCCGGTGCGCGCTTCTGCAGGGTCCCGAAGGAGGAGTGCGACAAGGGCCCATGCAAGTGCCTGGGGCCCATCTTTGGCCAGTATTACGATGCGTGCGTCGAGGGGGGCATCGAGCAGGTCTTCACAAACGGTGGGTGCCGGTGCACCAAAGAGTGCCGGAGGCGGTCGTCCGACGATAAGCCGACGTGCCCGATCCATCCAAGGGAGGATTGTGCCGACCAGTCGGCAACTGGCTCGTATACATTGCCTGAATGCGACAGTCCCAAGTGGGAGTACCAGCTGAGGCCGCCCACTTTCTGCGCGGGGGTGGAGCAGCGCCTCAGCAGCAGGAGGAAGGCACACTGGACGCATCTCGTGTATATGAACGCGGTGAGTGGGACGGACGCTGCCATGTCACGGAGACGACGCTTTCGTCCGTTTGTGTGTGTCCGTGTGTGTGCTGGTACATCAGGACAATAATTTGGAGAGCTATGCCATGAGTGACTTAAAGGAGATGCTTCAGATCCCCAAGAGCGACTTCAACCTGCTGGTGCTTGTCGACCGCGCCGACCCTGAGGTGGAGGATTCGTCTCATAGGGCGATCCACGATATGGTCATCTGTCCAAATGCCACCTCAGACGTCAATGCCAGAGTGGTATGCATACATGCACGCACGTCCAGTCATCTTCATCCCGACCGATAGAAGAGCATGGATGCCTCATTCGTTCTGTATTTGGATGGCGTCAGTTGGTTCAGGCAAGGCAGCAGTTTTCCGGGGCTTATGAGCTGCTGATGATTGGCGACCCGTACGAGAACCAGAACAGTACCAGCCGGCGCCGCTGGCTTCTGAAGAGGGACTTAGAAGAAACTAACATGGACGACGGCCAAGTGCTTCGGGTGGGTCAGACGAGACGGCGTCAAGACATGCCGCTTCCTTCCCAGATGACGATTGCCCCTTCCCGTTCGTGTGTGCGATGTATGCAGGAATTCATCGGGGGCGCCTTGAAGGAGTTTCCCGCGGAGCACTACGCCCTCACTTTTTGGGATCATGGCGTCGGCCGGAAAGGGTAAACTACCGCGGACAAAACGAAATGCATGTATCAAGAAGCCTGGGTGGACCGTGTGTGTACAGTTTCGGCGGCGATTCTAGCCACGGCAACTGGGATTCGCTGATGAGCCTCTGGGATCTAGAAACGAACATCAGAGTAAGCAACACAGACCATTCTACGCCATTGATCTTGCTTTCCTCTAACATCGAGCTTGTCTTGTCTTGTCTTGTCTTGTTTCATTATCCCAGGAAGGCGTTAAGGACGCGGGCATGCCTGATGACTTCCGCTTCGACCTTCTGTCGTTTGACGCGTGCCTCATGGCGTCGTATGAAGTCACAACGGCCCTCGCATCGCACGGACACTTCTTTCTCGGTCGGTGAATACCACCCATATCATGCACAGACAGACAGCTGTTTTCAATACCAATCATGGCCCTCCTTCTCTTCTGCGTGTACGCATGCAGGCAGCGAGACCCTCATCAGCGGCACTGGCTGGGACTGGAAGTCGCTGAGACCCACACAGCCGAACGGCCAGGCGACGGAGCCATTGGAGTACGCCAGGAAGATCGCGCTGGCGACGATGGACTATTACGTGCGCAACGACCGCCTCATGACTCTCGCCATTGTGGACCTCTACAAGATCCTGGAGTTCCGCGAGGCCTTCGCCCAACGCCAGAAGACGCTCACCAGCCGCCTGAACGACTGCGTCCAGACAAAGGAGGTCGACCGCATCCGGACGGCCTATCAGAGGGCCGATGACAGTCTGCGAGGTCGCCAAGTCTCGCTATTCAGCCGTGAGATAAAGAGTCCGGTGGACATGGGTCAGTTGCTGCAGCATCTGGAGACTGAGATGGAGCGGGTGATGCCAGCCGATGAGCTTGATGCTTTCTCTTTCAAGGTACAGGAAGTACAGTCAGTGTACAATGCATTGGCGAATGGAAAATTGTGTTTTCAGGACGCCTACAAAAAGTACAACGAGAGCATCGTCTACTTCAATGGCTCGGACATTTACGGCAACATCCCCCTGACCGGTAAGGAAGTGTGGACATCGGTGGGCTTATGTAAGTAAGGAACTGCAATGCGTGTGTCAATGTCAGGTCTGCACGCTGATTTGACTGTGGAAGAGGAGCCGGCCACTTCCCGCTGGCTTGGGGCAGATGCGCATTCCACCGGCGAGTCATCTGCATCTGATGCTCGCCAGCTGCAGGAAGACGCCAAATGGAGAGCAGGCATCGTAAGGCGGCACGTACACTCACTGGACAGAGAGACCTTTGCTATGTCATGTTCCTTGCTGCCTCGCTGCGCAGAGCGACGACCCGATCTGGCAGAGCACCGGCACGCCGAACGACCTGCGGGTCTTTCTCGAGCCCATCTACGATACCAAGCGCGCCGTGTGTCGGGCGAGGAAGGGTCCACCGGAGTCTCAGCCCAAGTTTGTCATGCTCAACTGTGAGCTCTACTTCATGAGCAGTGCCGAGGAGGAGGCCGACAGCACTGCGGCAGCGCCGCGCTACCGTGTCGAGGCCTTCAGAAACACCTCTAGCGGAGCCGCCTCATACACGGTCAGTGAGGCAGCGGCGGACATTGCCGTGTAGCTATCGATTGACCTGTCCTCCGTATGCTGTTCAGGCCTTGAAGGCCATTATGACCAGGCCCAAACCCGAGAATGATGGCAAGTTCCAGAAGGCCTTTGTGGTGGCGGAAGATGAGTCGCCCAAGAAGGATGAGCTGGCAGACTATGTGATCGACCGTGTGACGGCCGAGTGGGAGGGCGAGGGCTGGATACTCCATCAGAACCTCTGGACGGAGATCCAGAAGTTTACGACACGGGGTGACTGCGAGGCTCCCTCATGGATCAGAGAGTGCCCGGCGGGATTTGACGATGCACTGCCCCCACGCCGGGGGGCGGCCATTAATGAGGGAAGCGGCCGCACGTTCAACCGCCAGTGCGTGTGGCTGAGTGCGCTGGCGCCTCCTCGCAGCAATGGCGCCACCCGGCGAGTCCTGCAGATCCCTGCCCGCCTCTATCGCAGCTTCACCGACTTCACGCGCGAAGTGAAGGACGCTCGTCCCGCCACGCTGGTGATCGACTACGATGTCAAGACACCTTACAAAAGCCGCCTGTCTCTCTTTGCTGCAAATCGCTTTGGCGGTGAGGCGGAGGTGTCTTCGCGGGATTGGGGGCTGATCGAGCCGCTGCACACGTACGTCAATCTCACGGCTGTGGAGGGTTCGGGTCGATACGACATGGCCGACGACGCGGGCATCCAGGTGGATATGCCGTCGTGCTTCGCATTCATGTAGGCGGACGGAGAGAGGGAGAGGCAAATGCATGTACACAACGTACATGTGGATACATAGGCATACGAGGGCGAGCCCCTCATTCGTGTGGGTGCTGTGCTTCAGGTGGGGCTCTGATCCTGAGGTTCCTGAACCTGAGGCGGACGAGATCGAGGTCTTGCAGTGGCCGCCAGCCCTCGGACAGGCAGAAGAGGCCGAAGGCGGAGCTTCTCAACGGGCTCTGCAAGATACTGACGACGACAAGCGTGGTACGTACTGCTATGGCATGACATATCCGATTATATACTTCACCATCTCTCCTTCTCTCTCTCTCTGTTTCTCTCTCTATCTCTCTCTCTGTGTGTGTGTGTGTGTGTGTGTGTGTAGAGCGTGCGTTGGGCATCAAAGTCAAGGAGATCATAGGCGCGACGCCGACAGTGATCGGCAGCTTTATGGTCCTCTCAGACGCCAACACCAACTGTCCGGAGTTCGAGAAGGACCCGCCGGAGTATTGCAAGAAGTGTGAGGCCCTGGTGCAGGTGGATGAGTGCGACACAGAGAAGGAACTGCTCAATTGCAGTGGTATTTGTGGACGGTTTTGTGAGTCGCGGAATGGCGGGGCGCCTTGCGGACGCTCACCGGCTGTAGGTGTATTTCAAACTTTCCAGGGCAATGCAATAGAAGAAGAGGATAACGGCCACGACGTCACCGACTGTGAGCAGTCAGCATGGAGTGAGTGGACCCGATGTGACGGGCAGCGGACGCGCAACCGCACTACGATCACGGAGGCGCGAAATGGCGGGGAGCCGTGCGGAGATTCGGTTGAGACAGAGAACTGCACCCTCCAACTGGTGGAGCCGGTCTTGTTCTCGCTGACCGGATGCCCCTGCATTGAGAAGAGCTGTCAGAGAGAAGGCCTTAATCAGCCAGGCTTCAAGGGCTTCTGTCAAGTTAGGAAAGAGGACTGCGGCGTCGGTTCATGGACGTGTACAAGTATCTCTGGCAGCTACGTCGATGCATGCGTTGACGGGGACGACGAGTAGGTCTTCACCAACAACGGTTGCCGGTGCACCGATGAGTGCCGGAAGCGGTCAAGGAAGCGGTCGTCAGACGATAGGCCGACGTGCCTGATCCATTGAATGGAGGATTGTGAAGACCAATCGGAAAGTGGCTCGTACCGATTGCCTGAATGCGACAGTCCCAAGTGGGCGTACCAGCTGAGGCCGCCCACTTTCTGTGCGGGGGTGGCAGAGCGCCTCGGCCGCAGGAGGAAGGCACACTGGACGCATCTCGTGTATATGAACGCGGTGAGTGGGACGGACGCTGCCATGTCACGGAGACGACGCTTTCGTCCGTTTCGTGTGTGTCCGTGTGTGCTGGTATCATCAGGATAATAATTTGGAGAGCTATGCGATGGATGACTTGAAAGAGATGCTTCAGATCCCCAAGGGCGACATCAACCTGCTGGTGCTCGTCGACCGCGCCGACCCTAAGGTGGACGACTCGTCGCACCGAGCCATCCACGAGATGGTCGTCTGCCCAGAAGTCACCCCAGAGGTCAACGCCAGAGAGGTATGCAGGCACAGGCACTCTCACAAACATACATACAGACAGACAGACGAGCGTTTATGGCTTTGCAGTAATGTGCGGTTCAGGTCAGACAGCAATTTTCTGAGACCTATGAGCTGCTGATGATCGGCGATCCGTATGAGAACGAGAACAGCACCAGCAGGCGCCGCTGGCTGCTCAAGAGAGACTGGGGGGAGGCCAATATGGACGATGGGGAAGTGCTTCGAGTGAGTGGTGTGATAGCCATTGTCTCTATCGAGTGACAATGGCGGTCTTCTGTGGGTGTGCTTTTGTGTGGTTCTGGTGTTGTGTGCGAGTAGGAGTTTATCTCCAATGCGCTGAAGGATTTTCCCGCTGAGCATTACGCACTCACTTTTTAGGATCATGGCGTCGGCCGGAAAGGGTAACTGAAGCTAAACATGGAAGCATGCATCAACAGACCCTAGAATGGCAAATTTGTGTGGGGGTGTTGTTTGCAGGTTTGGTGGCGACTCCCACACGCCTGAACTTGCAGCACTGCTAAACCTCTTCGCTCTGGAGCAGGGCATTAGGGCAAGCAGAGCCTTGCTGAACCCGAGAATTGTTTCAGTGTCCTCTTTTGTTGACCACAGAATGGAGTCAAGGGTGCAGGCATGCCTGACGACTTCCGCTTCGACCTGCTATCATTCGACGCATGCCTGATGAGCTCATATGAGGTCACGTCTGCGCTGTCGGCGCAGGGACACTACTTTCTCGGTAGTGAACGTAATTACTCAGTACAAGCGCCCTCTGCTGGCTTGCCTGACATGCTCTCTTACCGCGTCTTGCAGGAAGTGAGACCATTATTAGTGGCGATGGCTGGCGTTGGCAGTCCTTAAAACCCAACACAACTGGCAGCGATGGCAATGCAACCCCGCCGCTCGACTACGCCAGAGGCATCGCCCTAGCGACGATGGACTCCTACGTGCGGCAGCATCGATTGATGAATCTCGCCATTGTCGACCTGTACAAGCAGCACGAGTTCCGCTAGGCCTTCGCCAAGAGCCAGCAGAGGCTTGTAAGTCGGCTGGACACGTGTATGAAGACAGTCGAGGTCGATCGCGTCCGGACGGCTCATCAGAACGCCGACGACGGACTGCGAGGGTACAAGCAAGAGCTATTCAGCCGTGACATCGCTAATCCGGTGGACATGGGCCATCTACTGCGTTCTCTGGAGTCAGAGATGGAGCGCGTGATGCCGTCAGAGGAGCTGGAGATCCTCAGAGAGGCTTATCGACTGTACAACCAAAGCATCCTCTACTCCAATGCATCTAGTGGATTTGAGGCCATTCCGTTGACAGGTCCGCATAATTCATCACGACACACAGAAGACACACAGTAACGAAACATGAGTATTTGTCCGTATGTCGTTTCATCAGGAGTGCATGTCGATCTGCCTCGGAAGCCAGGGCATCATCGGTGGCTCACAGCGATGGGTTCGCCCGCGCTGCCTGCAAGTTGTGAGCTGCAGGTCAATAACGCCACGATATGGGGAGCGACGATCCAACAAGATGAGTACTGGCAGGAGTTCGGCACGCCGAGGGACTTGATGGTTTTCCTCGAACCCATCTACGACATCAAGCGCACTGTGTGTCGTGCGGGGCAGAGTCAAGAAGACAGCGATGTGCCCTTTCGATTTATCAACTCTACTCTTTACCTGATGACCAACGCCACTGTGAAGGAAGACTCGACCACCGCAGAGGCGTTGACGTCTTCAGAAGACAAGCCCTCGCTACTCTACAAAATCGAAGTTAGAAACACATCTGACGGAGTTGCTTCCTACACGGTGGGGCGAAGAGCAAGAGAGCGAATCATAATGACTGCATGAGTGCATCCTTCATTGCGTTCAGGCCCTGAAGGCCATGGTGACTAAACCCGAATCCGACAGTACCACGTCCCGCCGGGCCTTTGTGGTGACTACAGAAGAGCCACCAGATAAGGAAGAACGGCGAGAAGCGGGCATCCGATCGATCACGTGACGGCCGACTGGCAGGGCGAGGGCTGGATCCTCTATCAACGCATCTGGGGAGGTATCGATGGCAATTTGACACGGTCCAAATGCAACGTCCCCTCGTGGATCAGAGAATGCCCTGAGGGTTTCAGCAATGCCGACAGGAGCAACCGGACATTCAACCGCCAGTGTGTATGGCTGAGTGCGCTGGTGCCTCCTCGCAGGAATGGAGCTACCCGGCGAGTCCTGCCTTAGGGTTTAGGGTTTAGGGTCTAGGGGTTAGGGTTTAGGGGGTAGGGTTTAGGGTTTAGGGTTTAGGGGTTTAGGGGTTTAGGGGTTTACG